CACTCAAAATAGGTTTGGTTAATCATTTATGAGAAATTTGGCTAATTGGGTCGAAATCAAATAGGAAATGTCCCATTAATATTTTTTCAACTCAATTTTGTCCCATTAGTATTTATTTTAATGATAATCCGGTTTTAACCTTCATATTTAGTTTTTATAAATATTTTTGGTTTGATTAATTCTATGAGAAATTTGGCTAATTGGGTCGAAATCAAATAGAAAATGTCCCATTAATATTTTTTCAACTCAATTTTGTCCCATTAGTATTTATTTTAATGATAATCCGGTTTTAACCTTCATATTTAGTTTTTATAAATATTTTTTGGTTTGATTAATTCTATTAGTAAAATCAAGTACATCAAAAATAAAACAAAAAATAATAAAACGACTTTTAGTTTAAAAGCCGTCGATATCTTCGAAGAGCTCCGTGTTCTCTCCTTCTCTTCTCCTCCGCCTGCTTTTCCACCAAGTTCTGCTCCACCGTATCTCCAAATCCGATTTTCTTCATCATCCTTCGCCAATCGACCTCCACAATTTGGCCATCTCTCACTTTAGATCTCCGCCCCCTTTCTTCCTCATCCCCTTTCCTCCTCTTCCCCCGTTATCTCTCTTCGTTTATTTCCTCGTCCGCCATCTCCTTCAAACGTATTCTTCATTGGGTAAGTTGAGTAGTCTGTGATTTAATGTGAGTATGATTTTGTTTGATTTGCTCTTTTACAAATTTAGTTTGTTCTAGGGTTTGCAATTACGGTACAACAATATAGTAATTGGGTTCTTAATCTCACTCGTTTTACAACATAATAACAAAATTCACAAGATAGAACATATTTAGGAATAAGTTATATGTGCTCTTTCTCACCTAAACCCTTTGAATTTCACGCTTATTGCATCAAATATATTCTTCGATTTTCAGTCTCTACTCACACAAAACTTGACATTTATGATATTTTTTGGTATTTCACTCAACTCAAATCCAGAAGATTTCAGGAGCAATTATAGTGAAATATAATCTCCAGATTTTGGCATTGAATATACAGTTATGCATGTAATAATGATACACATAAAAATATTTTGAGCCATCAATCGGACATGTGAGTAGCATGAAACGTAGGTGGTGCATGCGAACAAAATGGTTAGATCAATGGAGGAAGAGAGAGTTGAGAAACGGAGAAAGTGGTGAGGAAACAGTGAGCGCAGCAACAGAGGAGGAGCAACTGTGTCACACAGTCTGTGAGTAGAAAAGGTGGTAGCCTCAGAGAATGATGA